TTACGATTGATTTCTAGTTTTATTCCACTGTGATCTGAGAAGGTACATGGTATGATTTCTATTTTTTTAAAATTTCTTGAGATTAACTTTGTGTCTAAGGATATGGTCATCTTAGAGAATGTCCCATGAGCTGTGAGAAGAACGTATATTCAGTGGATTTTGGGTAGAATGTCCTGTAGATGTCAGTCAGACCCAATTGTTCCAGGGTTTTGTTTAAATCCATTATTTCTTTATTATTTCTTGTTGGAAGTCTGTCTGTGCCGTTTGTGGGGTGTTGAATTCTCGGTGATATGGAGTGCTTTAATCATTTGCTTAGATTCAGTAAGGTTTGCTTTATGAAACTGGGTGCACCTAAGTTGGTTGCATATATATTTAAAATTGTTATCTCTTCTTGTTGAAGTGTGCCTTCACCATTATATAATGACCCTCTTTGTCTTTCACTACTTTGTTGGTTTAAAACTAGAATCGTCTGAATTAGAACTGCCACTCCAGCCTTCTTTTGGCTTCACTTGCCTGGATACTGATCTCCACCCTTTTACTTTTAGTCTATATGCATCTTTGCAGGTTGATGTGTTTCCTGAAGATAGCATATAATTGACCTGTATTTTCTTATCCATTCAGCCAAGCCTATGTCTCTTGAGTGGAGAGTTTAAGCCATTCACATTTTGAGAGAACTGATAGGTAAGGTAGATTGCTGTTCATTCTGTTGGGTTGGATGTTGTTGCTTGATTCTCTCTTGAGCCATTGTATTATCTGGCCTTTATCTTTGGCTTTGGTTGTTTTTATATTCGTGAGTTATATTATGGTGTCCTGTGCATAACACTGTTTTGAGTACTTCTTGTAGTGCTGGTCTATTCTTGGTGATTCTCTGAGACTTGCTTGTCTGGAATGACTTATTTCTCCTTCATATATGAAGCTTAGTTTTGCAGGGTATAAGATTCTAGGCTGGGATTGTTTGTTTCAGGAAGAGTGAGAATGGACCAGTCTCTCCTTGTTGTAAAGTCTCATTAGAGAAGTCTGATGTTATTCTAATTGGCTTTCCTTGTATGTTACTTGCTTCTTTTGTTTACAGCTCTTAGAAGGCTCTCTTAGTTGATATTTTGGTCAGTCTGGATGACTGCATGTCGTGACATCTTCCTGTTTGCATTGAATCTCCAGGGGTCCTCTGAGCTTCTTGAACTTGTAATTGAGATTTTTAAGCAGGCCTGGAAGTTTCCTGTATTATATCTTCAAATAGCTGTCCAACCGCTTGAGTGTTGTCTTCTTCCCCTTCTGGTAACCCTATTACCCTCACATTAGGTTTCTTCATATAATCCCACATCTCTTGTAGGCTTTGCTCTTTTTTTCTTGTTTCTCTGCTCTATCTCTGTGACGGTTTTATTTAGTTGGAGGATGTTATCTTCAATCTCTGAGATTCTTTCTTCTGTTTTATCTACCCTGTTCTTGAGACTTTCCACTGTATTTTGTAGTTCCTTGAATTGATTTTTCATTTCTAGGAGTTCGGTTAAACTTTTCTTCATTGTGTCTATTTCTTTAGTGAACTTTTGTTCTAGGTCCTGGAGGCTTTTTGTGGTTTCTTTGTGTTGGTTATTCAGTTGTTGTTGCAGCTCGGTGAGTGTTCTTATGATCCACATAGGAAATTCCTCTTCTGTCATATTGGTTGCCTGATTTTGGTTGGTGTCCGTTTCTAGGGGGCTGGTGCTCCTATTTGGGGGTGTGTTTTCCGTTTGGTTCTTCATATTTCCTGAGTTCCTTCGCTGATTTCTTCCCATGTCAATCAGTTGTTGTTTCTTTCCTTTAGGTTTTTGTTTGAGTATTCACACACCTTGTTTAGTTTCTGAGCCGTTAGGTGGTGTCTGTGGGTGAGATTCGACCACTCCCTGTATAATGAGTCAGTGGGTGCCGTGAAAATGCTGTCCAGGATGCCGTCTCTGTCAGTAGGTGGCACTTGCTTGGAGGAACAGGCTATGCTGTTTATTTTGTGTCCTGTTATCAGCTCTTGTTCTGGGCGGAGTTGGGTTAGGAAAGCCTGCCCTCAGGCACCACCAATGCTGTTAGCAGGGGTCAAAGTTCTGTTCTCTGCTTCCAGGAAATGGTGTCAGGGCGGGGCTGGAATGGTCCCGCTCAGCCAGAAAGTCTGGGTGTGGGGGTGGGGCTGTCTGAGACCCGCAGTCTGGAGGAGGCCTCACTTCTTTCCACCCTCCCCAACTCCGCAGCTACTCCTGGGCCTCTGCCAGCAGGCCAGACCACATGCCACCAGGCCTCCCGGGACTGTGATGCCGGCGGGGAGGTTCCCTGCACAGGAACGCCACCTGGGCTGGGCGCAAGGCCTCCTTTTGGGAGGAAGGTTGGCCTCTAGGATGCTGATCTGCCCCTGAAGGCACACACACCTCAGTAGGCTGTTCACGTATAACCCTCCTGTGCCCTGGGCAATGCTAGACCTGGGTGCACGGGATCTGGTCTGCAGGTCCGACCTCTGAGTCCCAGAGTTCACACTGTATCCCCACCAGGGAGAGGAGTTCTGGTCCCAGTTCACCCACAGGGAGCCCAAGCTGGGTCTATGTCTCTCAGCCTCTGAGTTGGCACCGTTCTCCTGGGAACACCGTGCCAGCAGCACCTGGGAGGGCTGACGGGTACGGAGCTCACAGTCTGAGTTCCCCTTAGTCAGCTGTAGGGTCCCAAAAGGGAATGTCCCATTCCCTGGAGGTGCCTCTGGCTGGTGGCTGTATTGTCTCTCTGGGCAGCCTCGGGTAGGGTCGGCGGAGGGGAGGAGGAGGCAATATGGCGCCTGCCTCGCGGCTGGGGTCTGTGCACACAGAGGTGCCGGGAGGGAGTTGGGAGCCTGGTGCCGCGTCCACTACTGCCTCACCGCTAGCTGGCGACGGCCGACTCTGGGCTGGTGTCCGCAGGTCTCTCCACCCGCTGGGGAGCCCACCAGCAGTCCCAAATGCAGGGGAGGGGAAAGGTGACTGATCCACCTACCCTTGCCGCTGGTCTCCGGTCTGCTCCGGCGGTCTCAGCTTCCAGTTCTCCTCCATAGCCTCCTCCCGTGGAGTCTCCCGGGGTCTCAGGTAACCCTCCTTCTGGCCCTCGTCCGCTGTATGCTCGTCTACTTGCTTCCTTTTTCTAATTTCTGCTAGAATCTGTCTTTTCTGCAGAGACACACTGGCAGTGTTTTTCGTCCGCCATCTTGATCCTCCAGTTTACTCTCTTAACAATGTCTTTTAAGATCAGATCTTAATTTCAATGAATTCCAATTTGTGAATTTTTAAAATTAGTTGTTCAAGCTTTTTTGCTGTACCTAAGAAATTGTTGAGTAAGCAAAAGCAACACATATTTTCTCCTTTGTTTTTCCTGGAAGATTTATAGATTTAGTTGTACATTTAGGTCTATGACTCACTTTTAGTTATTTTTTTGTACGGTTTGAGGTATGGTATGAAATTTATGCTTTTGCAAATAGGTATGTGATTATTCCAGATCAAATTGTTAAAAATACTATTTCTCTTTTTTCCTCTAATCTTTTTTTTGTATCTTTATTGATAACCAGTTGTCTATATAGTGTGTATATTTGTGGGTCTATTTCTGTATGGTTTATTCTGTTCTGTTGGTGTGTTCCTATCATTATGCCAATACTGCACTGTCCTGATTATTCTCTTTGTAAGAAAATTTAAAATTAAGGAGTATAACCCCTCCATCCTTGTTCTGTGTTTTACAGGATTTATTTTTAGCTATGTGGTCTGCCAATTTCTATTTTAAAAGTATTCTGGATTTTGGTTGGGATTGCATGAAACCTATAAATGAATTTGGGAAAAAATGACATGTTAACAATATTGAGTCTTCAAACCCTTGAACAAGATATCTATCTCCATACATTTAGGTCTATATTAATTTATCCCTTCAATATTTTGTAGTTTTCAGTGTATAGATCTTCTCTTATACAAATTTTGTTACACTTATCCGTAAGCATTTCATATTTCCAAAGATAATTTAAATTGCACTATTGTTTATTTCAGTTTCCAAATGTTCGTTGCTATAATATAAAAATACAATTTATTTTGATATTGATTTTATATTCTGCAACCTTGCTAAAGCCAATTATTAATTCTAGAAGCACTTACTTAGATTGATAGATTTTTCTGCATGTTATCTGTGGTCTGTGAATAAAGATAGTTTTACTTTTCCCTTTCAATGTGGAGGTCTTCCTTTCCTATGTCACACAAGAAAGAACCTGAAGTACAATGTTGAAGTCCACCCCCACCCCCCCAACCATGATCTCATCAGTCTCAGGTTGTAGTTTTCTATATGTAGACACTCGGCACAACTTCCAGCACAAAAATATCTGCCTCATCACCCCCTACACTGTTCTAACCCAAGCCTGTGTACTTCACCAAATGAGATGAACATGATCCCACATTTTAAACAAAACTATGATACCGAGTGGAACAAGTTTATTCACTGAAGTCTTGACAGCCTGAAAGCAGTGATTTCAGATTGGAAAACAGAAAACCAAGGAGAGCTTGTGTGAACACTGGGAAAAGGAGGTGGATGGAAAAGTTCTTTGGTAGTAGCCAAAAAGGGAATGGTCTTTAAGGAGCTTCAAAGCCATCTGTAGGCAGAAGTGGAATGGTTCACATGTCCAGAGAAAATATAGCCACATTACCTTGGAAGTATTTTAGGAATGAAATATAAATACTAGGTAATGATGAAGGGTGGGAGAGAACAGAGTGAACCACTCAATGGGGTGGCCGTGAAAAAGGGCTTGTGGGAGACACCTTCTCCCTGTCATGTGACCCACCAGAATTTAGCAAGGGAGATGAGAAGGGTGGCAGATCCCTTAGGAAGGATCTTTATGGGTGCTAAAGAAATCTTCCCTTTCTCTAAACAGAGTATTTAGACCTTCCAGCATTCCTCCATCCCCACGGAGGTGTCAGGATGGTGCTTTGTGAGGTGTAAAGTCCCCCAGGGCTCCCATTGGCTGGGTAGTGGTTCGGTGACCAAACAAAAGCTCAGGGGCGTGACCAGACCCTATCCTGGGGAGAGTATATATAGGGAAGCCAAGCGGCCTGGGTAGACCCCTGGGAAGCGCTGACATAGCAAAGATGACTGGGAAATCACAAGTGAGGATGACCAGGAAACCACAAACCTCCCGTGGCACAGGCATTAAACAACAAACCACAAACGTCAAAGTGGGGAAGAAGAGGAAGGCCCCTCGTCAACCCAGGTCCAGAGGCAGCTTCAAGGCGAGCGACCCACCCAAGCCCCTCCCCGCCTTCCCGTCGAGTCCTCCCCCCCAGACTCCTCCCCTGCCCTCGCCTGGCACAAACCCCCCTCAGCCCGCACCCCTTCCCATGCTCCCACCCCCTCCACCCTCTTCCCCCAAACCATTGCTCTTCTGTGATCTCCCTGTTGTCCTTGCAGGTGCCCAAGGTAACCAGGAAGGCAAAAGAACCCCTTGGAGGGACTTTGAGGAGAAAGGCTTCTCCCAAAACGACCACCCCTTCGATTAAACCCAAGGAGGGGAGAGGGCCAACACTGTTCGACCCTAGTCACCGGCTGAACGAGGAGCTCAGTCAAAATGAGCCAGAGCAGGCCCCAGAGAGCGGGGGGAGCTCCACCACCTCAAGTGTCACCCTCAGCAGTCGGTAACTTCGGAGTGAGGCCAACGACCTCAGACCTATCTGCGAAGTCTCCGGAAGTCTGGCTGCTGGGACATGGCCAACCATGTGGAGGAAGAATTTTTCACTAACCGGGTACACCGTGGCGATGAAAATAAAATCAACCACTTGTGAAATGATGTGTGTGTCCCTGCGTGTTCTGTGACGGTGGGGAGGGAGGAAGGAGGGAAGAGGAGGGTGTGTGGGAAGCGAGGGGGTGGGTCCTGTCGGGTTAGGAATCAGACCAGCTGGTCCACAGAGAGCTAGACACAGAGGATAAACCCTGGGGCAGGGCTGAGCACTGGACACAAACTTCCTTCTCAGCACTTTCACCCACTGACAAGGCAGAAAAGGACTTAGTATTTGTGTATGAGTGTGTGTGTGAGTGTGTGTGTGTGTGTGTAAGGGGACCAGAAAGGAGAAAAGGAGAAGTGTGCTGTGTGTGGGGCACCAATGCCTTCTCCTAACAAGGTACACAAAGTAGTTGCCTTCAGGACACCCACACATCTCATAGTGGTGTTTGTTACCTTGGCTAGGCTATGGTGCCCAGATGTTTGGTCAAACCTGTCTAGATGTTGCTGTGAAGGTATTTTGTAAATGTGATTAACATTTAAATCAGTAGACTGTGAGTAAAGCAGATCACTCTCTATAATGTGGGTGGGCCTTATCCAATCAATTGAAGGCCTTAAGAATAAAGACCAGAATCCCCTAAAGAGGAAGGAATTCTGATCCAGACTGCCTTCGTACTCAAAAGTGCAACATTGACTCTTGCTGTAATTTTCAGCCTGCCTGCTGCCCCGCAAATTCAGACTTGCTAGTACCCTCAATTTTGTAAGCCAGTTAGTTCTTTAAATTAGATCTCTCTCTTTCTCTTTCTCTCAGTAATACAAAGTGTGTGTGTATATATATATATATATATATATGTGCATATATACATACACACATGGAGAGAGGAAGAAATAGAGACTATACACACTCACACACACATACACATCTTATTGGTTATGTTTCTCTGGAGAACTCTGACTGATACACACCCTATGCTGTAAGCAACTAAAGGCTCTCAGAAGGACCAATCATCTCATCTTATTAAAAGTCATTTATAGCTCTTCAATCACTAATGATGGTGTTTGGACACCATGAATATAACACTGTTTATGCATTTTGTTTTTAAGAAAACTTGAGGTTGAGCAGTTGCATAACAATGATGGGGCAGGAGCAGTGGGAGTGGTCAGCCTCTAGTGCAGTCAATAACTTGCAGGCAATTCTTAAATATTAATATCGTTGAGATAATTGCCGATCCACATTCACTTGTAAGGAATAACATGGAGATATTGCATACTCCTTATCCAGCTTCTCCTAATAGTAACATCTTGCAATACCATACTACAATATCACAACTGGGATATTGACATCGATATAGCCAAGACACTGAACAATTCCATCACCACACAGTTCCCTCATGTTGCCCTTTTATAGAGATATCCACTTCCCTTTCACACCCACTCTCTTCCCCTTAACTCCTGGAAGCCACTGATCTATTCTCCATTTCCATAATTTTGTTATGTCAAGAATAATATATAAATGGAATCATACTGTATGTAAGCTTTTACTATTAGCTTTTTGCACTTAGCATAAACTATGGTCTGAATGTGTCCCCCCCCCCCAAATTCATATGTTGAAACTTAATTGACAATGTGATACTATTAAAAGGTAGGACCTTTAGGAGGTGATTGAATCATTAGGGTGGAGCCCACATGAATGGGATTAGTGAGTGACTTTATGAAAGAGGTGAGAAGGAGCAGGTTGCCCCTTCTTCCAAGTGAGAACACAGCAGGAAGCACCATCTATGAAGCAAAGATCCTTTGCCAGATACCAAATCTGCTAGCACCTTGATCTTGGACTTCCCAGCCTCTAGAACCATGAGAAAATAATTTTCTATTATTTATAAATTACCCAGTCTAAAGTAATTTGTTGTATTGTAGCTGCCTGAATGGACTAAGACAACATTCTCTTGAGGGGTTGCATATATCGATAGTTTCTTCCTTTTCATTGTTAAGTATAATTATCTTCTTTGCCTGGATCTACCATGGTTTGTTTAACAATTACCCCATTGAAGGTCATTTGGGGCTGTTTTCAGTGTCTGGGTATTATGAATAAAACTGCTATAAACATTCATGTACAGGTTTGTGTGATCATACATTTTCATTTCTCTGGGACAAATGCCCAAGTGTGAAATTTGAGTTGTATGTTAGCTGCATGCTTAATATTTTTAATTAATAGGCTTTACTTTTTAGAACAGTTTTAGTTTATAGAAAATTGAGCAGACAATGCTGAGAATTCCCAATACGTTCATCCTCACATATAGTTTTCCTTATTATTAACTTCTTATGTTAGTGTGGTAAATTTGTTACAATTAATGAACCAATATTGATAAATGATTATTAACTAAAGTCTATTGTTTATGTTAAGGTTCACTTTTTGTGTTGCACAGTTCCATGGTTTTTGAAAAATGTGTAATGTCATTCATCCACCATTCCAGTATCACACAGAATAGTTTCATTGCCCTGATGAACTTCTTATGCTCTGTGTATTCCCCTACCCCTTCTCCCTGAATCCCTAACACCACTGATCTTTTATTATAGCAATAGTTTTGCCTTTTCTAAAATGTCATATTGGTGGAATCATATAGGGTGTAGCCTTTTCAAACTAGCTTCTTTCACTTAGCAATATACCTTTAAAATTCCTGTTTTGTTCATGGCTTGATAGCTCATTTTAAAAAAAATTGCTGAATGGTATTTTTATTCTGTGGTATGGATATACCACAGTTTGTTTATCCATTCACCTATTGAATATCATGGGATATCGTGGTTGCTTCCAACTTTGGGATGAATTAAGCTGTTATAAACATCTGTGTGCAGGTTTTTGTATGGAGATAAATTTTCAGCTAAATAGAGTGAATATCTGGGTGTGTGGTTGCTGCATTGTATAGTAAGGCCATAGTTAGCATTGTAAGAAATTACCAAACTGTCTTTCAAACTGGTGTACCATTTTGCATTCCTACCAGCAATTAATGGGAGTTCCTATTGTTCAGCATCCTCACCAGCAATAGTTATTGTCAGTGTTTTCAATTTTAGGCATTGTAATAGGTGTAGTGACATTTCATTGTTGTTTAAATTTGTAATTCCCTAATGACAAATGATGTCAAACATCTTTTCATGTGCTTATTTGTCATCTCCTTTGGTAAGCTGTCTTTTCAGATCTTTTGCCTATTTCTAAACTGGTCATCTGTTTTCTTATTGTTGAGCTATAAGAAGTTCTTTGTATATTTTGGATACAAGTCCTGTATCAGATATGTATTTTGCAAATATTTTCTCCTGGTTCACGGCTTGTCTTTTCATTCTATTGACAGTGTCTTTCACAGAGCAGAAGTTTTTATTTTAATAATGTCTAACTTATCAATTTTTTTTCTTTTGTCAGTCATGCTTTTGGTGTTGTGTCTAAGAAGTTGTTGCCAAACCCAAGTTCACCTCGACTTTCTTCCATGTTACCCTTTAGAAGCTTTATAGTTTTTGTGCTTTACATTTAGGTCTATGATCCATTTTGAGTAAACTTTGTGACAGGCAGACAGCAAGTGTCTTTTTCCTTGCTGAGGTCAGGGGTACTGTAAATGTGGAGAGGACAAGCATCATGGGATGATACTGAACTCATTCCAAGTGGGCAGGGGCCCTCCATAAATACCAGTGGGGGAGCCTCCCCCACCAGCACATGAACTACCACCAGTCTGGGGAAGTGTGTCATAGAAGTGTCTTAATGAAGACCCTCCACCATTAAAATGGGATTAAAATGGGATTTGGAGCTCCTGGTTTGAAAGGCTTTAGGTTGGCAGTAAGTCTCTGAATGAGAATGGGGTCACCCAAAATGGAGCCACAGGGTGATGGGCTGAGGGTCCCTATAGGAGGGAGAGCACCATCTTGATTATTCCATCTACCCAAGGATAGTTGGTACCCCAGATCAACACTTGCCCCCACCTCTGTTCCACATATTTCCTTCTAGCTGCCCTCACTCTTGACAGGGGCTTTGGCAGAATTCAGGAACGCCAAGACTCCAGAAGAGGTTGACTTATGGTTTTGTGAGAGATTTCACTGAAGGCTTGGGTCATCTCCAGATCCACTCTGTTCAGGACCAACTCAGCTGTTGTGGAGTTTGCTTTCTTCCTGAGCTTCAGCTTTAGTATCTTGGGTACATCAGCCTTTCTTGTACCCAGAATAAGATATACAACTCGTGATGGTTAATTTTAGATGTGAAATTGACTAGGTTAAGGGATACCCAGATAGCTGATGAAGCATTATTTCTGGATGTGTCTGTGAGGGCGTTTCTAGAAAAGATTGGCATTTGAATTAGTGGACTAATTAAGGAAGACTTGCCCTCACCCAATGTGGCTGGGCATTATCTAATTGGCTGAGGCCCAGATGGAACAAAAAGGCAGAGAAAAGGCAAATTTGCTCTCTCTCTCTCTTTCGGAGCTGGGACACCCTTATCCATCAGAACTTCAGGCTTTCTGGCCTTTAGACTCTTGGACTTGCACCAGCATCTGCTCTGGGGTCTTGGGCCTTTGTCCTTGGACTCAGAGTTATATCATCTGCTTCCCTAGCAGCAAGGCCTTTAAGACTTAGACTGAGCCACACTTCTGGATCCCAGGTTCTCCAGCTTGCAGATGGCCTCTTGTGGGACTTCTCCACCTCCATAATTGCATGAGCCAATTCCCTTAGTAAATCATCTGTCTGTTTATCCATCCTATTGGTTCTGTCTCTCTGGATAACCCTGACTAATACATAACCTTAGAGGTGAAGGTGGAAAGCTTACACAATAAAGCTCTGCTCCTGTACCTGGAGACGGCTGGGGTCCGAGTTTCACTCCTGGCCCCTGTGACCTCTGGGATTTTGGTACTGCAGTCCATCAGAAATAGCAAAAGGGCTGTTTTTCCTTTTCTTGGGCAGAAGGGATGAGAGGAATGACTGCCTGGAGCTCTGTCTGTGCACAACCCACAGTAGATAGTTCACTGATGAATAGTAGTATTTTGGAAATTTAGCATATATTGATGGCTTATGTGTCAAGCTTAAAGATGAGAAGACTACAAGAAAACGAGGGCCTGAGATTTGCAACAACATGAATGGAACTGAAGAACATAATGTTAAGTGAAATAAGCCAAGTACAGAAAGACAAATCTTGCGTGTTCTCACTCCTATGTGGGAGCTAAATATTAAAAACATCTCATGGAAACAGAGAGTATAATGATAGTTATCAGAGGCTGGGAAGGGAAGTGAGGAGGGGGGATAAGGTGGAGATGATTAATGGATGCAAAAATATAGTTAGATGGTTAGATAGAATGAACAATATTTCATAGCATGACAAAGTGAGTATAATCAACAATAAGTTAGGGTATGCTTTAAAATAGCTAGAATAGTAGAATTGGAATGTTTCTAACACAAAGAAATGACAAATACCTGAGGTGATAGAAGCCCCAATTACCCTGATTTGATTAATTCACATTCTACGTCTGTATCAAAACATCACATGTACCCTATAGAGGTATACAACTATTATGTAAGCATAACAGTAAAAAAGAAAAGGAGGGCATGAGTATCTCTAAGTGGGAAGAAGAGCAAACAACATCCCTTCAAAGATCAAGGGAAACTATATATGGTTGTTATCAGTACTCTTCAATGATAAATGCTTCGCCCTTCCTGGGTACACAGCAAGCTGAATGTCCTGGATCCTTATAGTTGGGTCAATGTCATTAGTTTTAGCTAATGAATTGTGAGTGTGAGGTGTTTCCCTTCTGACAGCAGCATTTAATCACTAGTGCAAGGCCCACTACGTTTCCATCCCCCTGCTATGAAGATTGCAGAAGCACACATCAATAGCTACAATGAGCAGGAGCTCCCCTGGTGACCTGAATTAGACACACAGTGTGAGAAGAAAATAAACATTTCTTGGGTTAAGTTACTGTGATTTTGAGATTGTCACCATAGCAGCACCTAGCCTGTCCTGACTGATTATCCAATTCCGAATTGGGCATTTCCGTGTAGTTAGCCATTGTCTGGTGGTGTGACGGGGCAGAGTCCTTTATTCTTATTGGACAGGATGGTTGAATTCTCATTTTTCTCACCAAAGAATCCACATATTCCTATTTGGAGAGTGTGTCAGGATGGGAAGTCTCCTTGAGGCGTGGCCCATATCAAGCTGGAGTAACAGGAGAGGGTCTTTGGTTAGGTGAAACATTTTGTGCTGCAAAAGGCAGACTAACATTAGCAATAGTAAGGTATGTTTGTGTGGTGGCCATGGTGGTGCCTCTCTCAGGTCTCTAGTAATAAAACCTGCTGTTGTGGGCAGCATTACTCATCAGCCCCAGCTGTGTCTGTGCAGAGGCCATGCTTCCCTGGGGCTGTTCCCATTAAATGACTGGGAATAGCAGGGATGACAGTGCCAGCCTGTTCCTGTCTGAGCAGGACCAGAGGGCACAAGTAACTGCGTGAGCAAATAGCTCAGGCCCCCATACCACCCAGCACAGTGGCACCAGCAGCCCTTCCTCACCCTGCATCTATGGCCATATGGAGCGTCCTTTATGGCTAGCTGAAGGAGGGAAAAGGTATAAGCTGGAAATGGCTGGTACTGCATTTCAGGCATACTAGGGGGTGCTCTTGATAGAGAATGGCAAGGGAAAAATCTTTCCAAATGGGCAGAGCTTTGAGGGGTGTACGTGGCCGGCGGTCAGAGTGGGTTGGCTAGCTGGGAGAAGACTGGAAGAGGCTCCCAAGTGAACAGGGCCTTGCCCAAGGCCACACAGAGTATTTCAGACAGGAGGTGAGGAAGGATGACAGAGTCCATTGTCTCCCATCAATTTTTACACACTTTTCTTCAAGTGACACTAGAGGGAGACTTTCTAAGAAGCTGACGTGTTTCTGCTCCCTTTGTTCCTCCTTGAGAAAACTACCTTGGAAGATATCACTTCTTTCAGGTTCTTTTGTCTGGTCCTTTTGACTTTTTACATAATTTGGGTCTGTATACTTGGCTGGACACAGATAAAAAAGAGAGAAAAATGTGGGAAAAGAAACTGAAATTGAGAAATTTGGAGTCAACGATGCAGAACTGGATTCGGCTGCAGCAAATCTTAGGTTGGCCATTGGAAAAGTTCATGTTCAAATTCTGGCACTGAATCCCTGTGCAGTCCCTGAACAACTTCCGGACCATTGGACAGAAACTTGTTGGAGTCCCATGGCAAATAGGTCTCTTATCCCCTATTACTGTTAAGCATAAAAATAAACTCAAGGTTATTAAGAAATAAACCAAACCTTCCTCAGTCTTGTCTACCTTACCAATTCCTGTCCTCTCCCACCCTTGAGACCCCGATTGGGAGGAGTTCTTGAATTGGGTAAGCAGCACTGTAGCAGCACCAAGGTGCCCCGGGAAGCATGCCAGAGCTGGGAAGAAGCTGGTAAGGGGTCCGTTGCCCCAAGAGTTAGTGAAGCTGGGAAGGGGGGAATCCCATTCCCCTCCTCTCATCCCTGCCCTTGGGGTAGTTGTATAGTCATGCAGGCAGCAGGTGACAGTGGTCTCATCAGTGTCAGGCCCATCCAAGTGCCACATGCTCCACCTGTGGCCACCTTCTGAACCTCGCTTGTCTGCAGCAACTTAGCCAGCAGAAGAGCACACAGCCACTCATGGCAGGTACTGGCCATGAGAAAACTCTTCCTCACAGCCCAGATGCACCTCCTCTTTCTGCATGTGCCTGTGACTCCTCCAGCATGGTAAGCTTTTAGCAGCAGGAAAGCTGCTAAGAGTTGAAAGGGAGATTTCTGCCTCTCAGGGTCACAGCAGAATCTGTGGGAAGGTCAGGTGGAGCTGACTGCATTGCAAAGGCGGGCCCAGCAAGCGCTCCTGCTGCAGTGTTTGGTGAGGGAGGCAATGAGTCATATGTGTTCTGCAGTGGGCTTCTCTGCAGCCAATGAGGCCTTGGGTCGAGTCTTAGTGGGCAAGTGGAGTTGGGATCCTGAGTCTAGTGAGGGAGACCAGGAGGAGTCAGGAGAACAGGGCATGTTGCCAGGAGCTGCTGACAGGAGTCAGAACACTGGAGAAGAAGGGCTATCAGAGAAACTTTTCTTTTTTTTTTTTTTTTTTTTAAATTTTTTTTATTTTGGCATATTATGGGGGTACAGATTTTAAGGTTTCAATAAATGCCCATTTCCCCCCCTCCCCCCAAAAGTCTGAGTCTCCATCATGACCATCCCCCAGATGGTGCACATCTCACTCATTGTGTATGTATATACCCGCCCCCCCCCCCCCTCCCACCTGCCCAATACCCTATTACTGTAGCACCTATGTGTCCACTTAGGTGCTACTCAGTTAATACCAGTTTGCTGGAGAATATATCTGGTGCTTGTTTTTCCATTCTTGGGATACTTCACTTAGTAGTATGGGTTCCAGCTCTAACCAGGAAAATATAAGATGTGCTATATCACCATTGTTAGAGAAACTTTTCTTTTCTTTTCTTTTCTTTTTTTATTGAGACAGAGTCTCACTTTGTTGCCTAGGCTAGAGTGAGTGCCGTGGCATCAGCCTAGCTCACAGCAACCTCAAACTCCTGGGCTCAAGCAATCCTCCTGCCTCAGCCTCCTGAGTAGCTGGGACTACAGGCATGCGCCACCATGCCCGGCTAATTTTTTGTATATATATTTTTAGTTGGTCAATTAATTTCTTTCTATTTTTAGTAGAGACGGGGTCTTGCTCAGGCTGGTTTTGAACTCCTGACTTTGAGCAATCCACCCGCCTCAGCCTCCCAGAGTGCTAGGATTACAGGCGTGAGCCACCATACCCGGCAGAAAAACTTTTCTATCCTGTATATGTCCCAGCTTGGAGCAGCAAAGCAGCCTCTGGAGGGTGGGTTTGCATGGCACTCCTGGCCTGTTTGGGGCACAAAAGGGACCACAAAGCATCATTGGGCTAGGGTTCCTGTTGCAACTCCAAGGTTTTCATCAAAAGGTGCTTGGAGATGCACTGAGGAACGTCGGCCACAGCAAGGAGGCCCTGTAGGTACCACTGCAGGACATTTGAATGTGACTCTGGAAACGTTTTAATCCTGAGCATGCTCTATTCGTACCCTTGCAAGGCTATCTTGCTCTCTATTCTGCACATCCACATTAGCAAAGGAGATTTTGAAAACCATTTTGTTCTTTATAAAGATGGATTTCCCCACTCCCCTTACCTTATAAAATGGAACTAAATGTGTACCTTGTATTTTGGCACCACAACAGCTTGTTCTGTTTTAAAATTTTTTGTTTCAAATGATTAGGAATGGCCTGTTCAAAAGTGTGAACTAATTTCATTTATGCTGTTGCCAATTCCCCTCATCTTGAAAACCATGGCTTCCAATGTCCTGGGGCATGACGAGGTCAATGTGCAAAGCCATGGGAAGGCCATGGTGAGGGATGAAAGCTAGAGGCTTCCTGAGTCCAGACAGATGTCCCGAGCAACACTTTGTAATCCTACAGAGAGAAGACACAATGACCCAGCAGAGTGCTTGTCATTATACATATTTATTTTTCCCTTTTGGCTGTTTATAATATTTTATTTCAGTATATTTTTCAGAAGCATAATTTTATCTTTATGTTTTATTTTTTTGAAGTCCACACTGATCAAGGTCTTTTTCATGCAAAAATGTACATTTAATGAGGGAAAAGAAGGTGACCAGTCATCTCTTGAGGCTCTGGTGCTTTTGTGCCCCCTTTTTGGGTCAGGGCATTCAGGGCAGCTGGGGCTTGGTCCTCCTCTTCTTTTCTTGGTTTTCACTTGCCTGGGCCCAGCTCTACTTCTGAAGACGTGTGTGTGTGTGTGTGTGTGTGTGTGTGTGTGTGTGTGTGTGTGCGCGCGCGCGTGTGTGATTTTACTGTACTTCATCTGCTTTCAGAGCGTCACTGACTTGGCTGCACTCTGAAGAATCTTCTGGCACTGCCTGACGTCAGGCACCATGGCCAATTGTGCTATACTCGGGCACCTTCAACTTTGCTGATGACTACTGACCCTGGGGACGCAGTCTGGCAAGATGGTGGGCACAGAGTCTCAAGCAAATTGAGTCCATGGAAGTGACCCTGACCAACTGGGGCTATTTCATAATTTAAGTATATCAGAGAGATACATTAACACTCTCCTCCCTCCCTCCCCTGAAAACCCAACACCAATAATATAGATTTCATATTGATCACAGGACACTATACAACAGACATGAACATACTGCACTTTTAGTAGGACAAGTCACGATTTCCTTTGATGTTTGGCTATAGAATAGCTAGAAAGTTACAGCTCATCACCACAGCAGGGTAACATGAAGATGGATGGCTTAGTGAATGTATTCATTAGTTAATAGTTCAAAGGGTTAGTTCTTGTATATACATAATAAGGAACCCTCATTTGGAACAGCCACAGTCTCAGCAAAACTCAGCTCTAAATGTGCAAAGACTTTGCAGCCCTGCTATTAACAAGGTGACATGAATTCTAAGAATACACTTGACAAGCTCCATTAAAGATCATCCATGACCTGTGCAAAGGCACCCCACAGTGGCAGACGGAAAGGGCAAGAACTTGGTAGGAAACATGTCACATATCCCCACAACAAATTGACACTTTGGAGAGACAGATGGGGGTGTCCTTCCTGTGGTAGTGGCACAGAAGGGATTCTAGGGGGAAAGTGGATGGGAAGGAAAGTGGGTAGAGGAGCAAAGTGGGGGTCACTCCATTCCACATGCTGCCAAAGCTCCAAATTACCAAGCACTCTTTGACTGGCTGGGGCTGAGAAAGGCTCTGGGCTGTATCCCGGCAGCACCCAGCTGGACACTGCACTTCCAGAGTTATTTGGTGTGAGAAGAGGAGAAGGAGGGGATGGAGGCAGTCAGCTGGAGGTGGGGGTTTGCACGGCTGGGGAGGGGCTGGGGACAGCTGGGGACAGCTGGGGATGAGGCTCAATGACATAGACAACAGACCACATACAGGACTTGACAAGGGAAGATCTGGCAATTTTCAGGCTCAAACAAACTAATCCATGGCAAACTCAGAAGGTTTAAGTTCCCGAAAAGGTTTCATTGCCAAACCTCCACCTCACATTGTCACTTAACCTACAGAGTATGAGTCACAGTAGAGTTCAACTGCTCTTATTGCAGCACATTAGGGCAAGATATTCTTTGTAAGGTATAATATTATATCTGGCTATGTGGATTTATAGAGATATTTACAGCTGGCCTCTCTGCCCTTCCTCTGTGCTGTGTAGCCTTCATGTGCATTGCTGCCAGACACATCTTAAAACCTTCTTAAAACCTGCCTTCCTACTGCTCAAATCTCCCTTTATGACTGGATCTCAAATCAACTGCTCACCCCCCACAGGGCTCAAAACCCACCGGGGTCCTAGAGACGCAAATCAAAGTTAACTAAGCAATGCTTAGGCTCCAGGAAGCCAGACTTTCTACAGCCATGTGGGGAGCTTCAGACATGAGGCTACTGCTCTTCCCTCAACCTGGATCTCTCTGTGGGGTGCCCAAAAATAAAGAGGGAATCTTGACAGTCTGGTGGCAACTTTCTTATTTGTAACTGTCCTACAAGATGTGTGTGTGTGTGTGTGTGTGTGTGTGTGTGCGCGCGCGCGCGTGTGCATGCACACTCATGAATGTGTGATTGTGCATGTGAATATGTGTGGCCATATGTGAGTGTGTGCAGGTCTGGGTGCGTATAGGTATATACTGATAAAGGTGAGTGCCCCCCGTGTGTGACTGCACACGTGGGTGATAGTGTGGGTCTGTGTGGGTGTGTGTGAGAAGCTATATGTTTGTGCAGAAGGGAGGAAGAGACAACAAGCTGGGCCCACTGAGGCAGGCAGTCCTTAGGGCACCTTTGCACTTCCTTCTCTCCCCTCTGACTATTGCTTTCCCTGGAAGGGTGGAAGTGGAGAGTTCTAGACTCCAAGTCCAAGGTGGAACTTAGGGCCTATTGCTGGAGTCCAGCAGTGAAAAGCCATCCCAGGATAGGCTACTAAAGTGTTTCCTGTGCCGAAATTGGTAACCGCCACAGTCCATACCTGCAGCCATTCTAGGCAATATAATGCCACACGTGTCAGGCTTACAATGCAATTGGAATAAAGGTTATAGACAACACCCTGTCTAGTTTGCTGGCTCTCCCACCCCTTTGTTTGCAGCATGCTTCTATTCTCATTGTATCCTTCAGGCCCTCCCCCCAGCCTGTTACTCCTAAACATGTCCTCCCAGAACAAGGCAAAATGCTCTGCACTTGTAGCTGATCCCAGGGACTCAGCATTTCCTACCTCAAGGCACTAAATTACCACTCCTTAGGACTACATTCATTTCCTCCGGCTCTTCTGTCCAAGAGACAGCACAGATGGGTGAAGGGAGGGGACGAGGAGTGGATGGGGACCAGAAGATGCCACTTCCTGGAACAGCGAATTGGAAAGAAAGTCAGTTAACCAACACAGCCAAAGGGCATCCCCCACGTGGGAACAGGCCAAAGGAATCTGGTGGTTCTAGAAGGGTGCCAACAGGGAATATATATGTTGTCAGGTATATTTTGCTTCACACTCATTCAAGCCAGGTAAACACAGGTGTGCAGACATGCATTTATACACACACACACTCAGCATACACCCATACATATACACACAAGCCACACTTTCATGGGGATACATCCACATACACACATCCACACGTTGTTGTACATACATTTCTTTGCATACCAATATAGATTTACACGGATAGCCACAGCAGTATACAGATTCTCGAATGGTTGTACATGCACATAGACCTACCTCGATGCATATGAACACATCCAGGTAAACAAGGAAACACGAACACAGAAGCATACTTAAAGGTAGGTGGGTAAAGGGGTGAGGTGTTGCAGGAAAAGCTTCAGAAGGAGAAAGGGGGTACAGGTTGAGTGCTTGGTAAAGCTCATTCCCTCATGGACTCCATCAATGAGGTGGAGCTGCTTGGCAAATTGGAGTGCAGGCCAATCCTACTGCCGCTAGGGGCCCTGCTGGGTGGGCAGTGCCCCTGTTCTCCATCTGCTCCCTTCACACTCATTGGCTGGTCACCAGCCAGTTCCTGCAGAGACACCCCAGGTACCATAGAATAAGGTTGGGGGCCTGATAAAGAGACAGACTCTGCCAGAGCCCCGTTTTGCAAAGGGGAGGAAAGAAAGGGGGATGCTTTGGTTTAGAGAGCTAGGAGGACCAGGAGAAGGAAGAGCAAGTGGGGTGGCTCTACCACTCACTCGCTGCATGCTCTCAAGCACGGTACATAAGCTCCATTTGTTTTCCTTGCAACACTGGGAACAATGTGCTTTGCCTTTCCTGGCTTGTGGGGGTCCTGTGAGGTCCGGTGATGTGATGGGTCAGTGAGCTTGTTGACACTATGCACTAGAGAAATAGAAAGGATTAGTATACAGATTTACAGTAGATGTGCATCTGCTAGTCTAGGTCATATGGTGAAATCTCAAGTGTGATGTTCCCTACCCTAGTGCTTATTCACCAAGTGCTTACTCTGTGATTAGTGATCAACTTAGCATCTGCCAGCAAGCGAACTCCTGACTTAGACAGATGTATTAAGTCCCTAGTGTCAGGCATTCTGAAGCAGAAATATAGGCAAGAGAAGTTCCAGTTCCTCCAAAGAGGCCAGCTCAACTGTTTCATCTCCAACTTAGACTTGCCCCCTGCCCCACTGCAAGCTCCTGTTGGGTGTGTGCTCTGTCACCTACCCTGACATCTTGCTCTTCAGCCTCACCCACCTACATTCCCCTCCCAACCCTGCACCACCATGCCACATTCTAAATATGACAAAAATAGTGGGAAAAAGGCACTTACAAATGCTCCCCTAGTTTCCCATGCCCAGTTCCCTGAACTTCCAAGCTATGGCTAGCCCTTCCCCTGTGTACCCCAGCCCAACCCAGCTTGACTTTTTCCTATAAAGCCCTAAGCAGAGGGTGAGCAAGGTCCATAATCCCTAGGAGGAAAAAAAAAAAAGAAGAAAAAAAGTCATGAAAAAGAAATTTTGCCACCTCAGGGGGACAGAAAAGTTCCCAGAAATGTTTGTGAGCAAGGCTTAGATTCTTCTACTGTCCCGAAACCTGGCTCCCCCCTGTCCTCTAAACATTTCCAGGGGCTTTTCCATGCTTACTAGCTGTGAGAAATCTTAGAAAAGGTGAGCGCCTTCTAGCAGGAAAGGAAATCAATGTGCTCTTTACCTCCAACTCCTCCTCAGCCCCTTCCTTTCCAGCCAGAATACATGTTTTCCAATCACTCTCCACCTCATGTTTATAAAGAGAAGTGTTGAACTGATTAGATTGCCCCCAAAGCCACAAAATAAAATGCATGAAGGAGAGAGGGAAAAATAAAACCAAAAGAAACTATAAAGGAGCAGAGGACAGTGTCCCTGCCGCTCTGGGGCCACCAGGGGACTAATAGATATGGTACACCCAGTAAGCAATGTTGAACAACCCAAAGGCGAGAGGGAAGAGGAACCGGGACCATTTGTCAACCTTAGGGACACAGTCAGGGTTAAAGAGACTGAAGGAGAACTCTTCAGTGAAGGCGCACCCAGGGCTCGGGGGGGCACTCTCCTCAGACTCTGAGCTACTGTCCTTTTCTGGGCCACTGGCCATGAGCTCATCATCATCCAGGCTCCAGATACTATCAGCATCACACTTGAGTCGCTCCTCAAGGCCAAGGCAGATGCTCTCAACATTGACATCATCGTGTAAGCTATGGATCTCATCAAGCTCACGGTTTGCTTCTTGCACACACCCCTGGCCACGGTGAAGCACAGGCTTCCCACTGGGGCCACAGCCGTGGCTCTCATTTGAGCTCAAGCTCCCATCAGAGTCTTCAGAGTCACGAGTCTCAGCATGGCCATGGGCCTCGGCACGGTTGCGGATTTCAGTAGGAACAACACTGTCATCATTCTGGAAACCACTAAAGCGAACACCATAGCTGAGGTGGGCCTGCTCTGAGGTGGAGGGGAGATCGCTCAGGCTTTCTGCAGTAGCCAGCTGGGCCTGGCCTGAGAGAGAAGTGAGTGGGCTGAGGCTTTCCGAGGTGGCCAGCTGGGCCTGCTCGGAGATGGACGTCAAAGAACCGAGGCTTTCCGGGCTTGCCAGGGGGGCCTGCGCTGGGGTGGTGGGAAGAGAGCTGACTCCGTCTTCCATGATAATCAGGCCATCCTTTGAGGAGATAATGGATAGGCTCATCAGTTTCATGTGGCCTAGGTGGCTATGCACTGGGGGAGGGGGGGGGGCAGGGGCTTTTCTCATCAGCACTTGCATTGTTACTGTTGATCTCTTTGACAGACAGAGCCATCTCCTCTTGGGGTCTCTGGTGTTCAGGGGGCAGAGGAACAGGACCAAGAGGCTGTCAGCATGCACGGGAAGGCCATGGCAGCTGCCAAGCCTATGTCTCCCTGGGGGTAGCTGCTCCCTTGGGAGCGCTGTGTGGTGGATGGAGGCCTGCTCAGGCAGGCAGGGCTGGGCTCTCTGTGAAGGAGGGACGTTGTTGGACATTAATGCACTGCCCACAGCAAAAGGCTCAGCACTGCCTTGGGAGTCTGAAGTGCCAAAGAAGGAGGGGTAGGCAGGCCAGCCTCTCTGGTATCTGTCTTCCTTTCAGCCTCCCTGTGCTCATGTTCCCTTCCAGCTTCATTGCCTGCCCTGGACACATACAAAGTGGACCGGATTTGGTCCAAAGGTCTGGAGAAATTTAGCCTTGCCATTTACTTGCTTTGTGACCTTGGACAATGATCATCTATAAAGGAGTGATGATAAACAGTCCTACTTCCATGTTACTTGTTCATGTGTGTGTTCATGTGGTGTGTGTGTGTGTGTGTGTGTGTGTATGAGGATTAAAGGAACTAAGAAATGCGAAAGGGTCAAAAGCGCTAAGCCGGGGCTTGAGAAGTGCTCAGGGAAAGCTGATTGTCAGTCAAAAAGTCAAACCTGCACGTTCCCCACCACCACTTCCTGGTACCGGTAGTGGGCAATGACTCTTCGTGGCCTCCTGCGTCGCCTATGATGGCGCTGAGGTCCCCGGCTGTAGAAAAGATAGTTGATGTAGACATACTCCAGCAGGGACAGGAACACAAAGAACAAGCACACGAGGATATAGATGTCGATGGCCTTGATATAGGAAATGTGGGGGAGTTTATCCCGCAGATGAGAGTCGATGGTGGTCAGGATGAGCATCGAAATCAGACCTACAAACAGAACAGCACAGGCTTAGTCTCCTCTGGTGGCTGAGCTTCCTAGCAAGCCATTTGGCCCCTGGCCATCTCTGGGGTGAGGAGGGCCCTCAGCAAAAGCCTCTGCCTCTCTGGGATGGAGGGTGCCTTTGCTGAAGTGCTTGTTTTGTTCCTTCTCCCCCATCTTTAAGCCCAGCCTATGCTTCAGTGGTTAATGACTTCTCATTGCTCTTACCATCAAGTTCCAAAGCTGCAGCCATGGCTTCTCAGCGATTAACACCTTTAGTCTCTTCCCCTTGCCCTGTGACTGCCCCTTCCCCTTTTGTATTTCTTTAGTCCCTGGGAAAATTTGTGAACCCTAAAATATTACACAAGTACAAAGGTTTAGTCCAGAATGATCTCCTGAAGAGGGAGGCTGAGGAGTCTGCCTCAAGGATGGTGAAAGAGAAACCAGAGCTGGATCTGGGGCACATTAGAGGCTCCTTCAGGGCAGCTCCTCCTGATGCCCTGCTGCCTGGTAAGGTGGTCTGATACCTTGATTAAATCAATGTTTATTATATTGCATTTCTGACTTGTCCATTTACTTATGGACTCAACAAATAATGAATTTTGGTACTCTGGGCACAACATACCAAGATTCCAACTCTAATGTTTTTTTCGCACCTGTCTCCAATGTCAGTCTCTCCACTGGGGATTGGCTGAGAACCTACACAGATGCCTGTTGGAAAAACCCTTGCTTCCTTGCATATACAGTCACACACTATGCCATGTACTACTTCCTTACTCTCTACTTTTTTTTTTTCTGAGGAAGACAACTTATGCTCCTCCCTGGGATGCAGATAGTACGTACCAATAGTCACCCTGGCTGCAGAGGAATCATAGTTCATCCAAAACGATATCCAGGAAAGAATAGTGGTGAGGACAGTAGGCCAATAGACCTGCACAAGGTAGCTGTTGACTTCCCTCTGGAGTTGGAACTTGAGTATCAGGCGCATGTAGGAACCTGGCAAAGAGACACACTGACGTCAGGGTGGCAGGGCTCAGGGGATTTGTAGGGTGGAGAGGTACACATCGGATGGGGGGTGAACGATGGGCAGTTCAGCCTCTAATTCTCCATCCACAGGTATCCAGCCTGAGAAGGCCAGTGAGAATGGCACATCTCAGCAGGCCCATGTGGCATAGCAAATTTGCTCTCTCCCCGTTCCTTTCTCACTTGCTCCACGTTAGCTGAAATTTGGGAATGGGAGAGACAACAGATGGTTCCAATCTGTAAACAGATGGAGGGTGAGAGGCCAGCCCTGAGGGGAGCATGAATCCTTTATACCTGCAGAGTGTGGTTAACTGGGCCAAGTGTTTCCACACCCATTCCTCACTTGCAGAGGGTGACCTATTGGGGCTTTATTAAGGGGGCCTGAAGGTGTGCAGAACCAGTGGGAAATAGGAAGGGAAGCAGTAGAGAGTGTAAGGGTCACAGGCAGAGGCCACTGGGAGTTTATGGGATTGTAAAGGGGACAAGAGAATGGAGAGAAGGAAGGGGTGTGACCCACCTGTGTAGAAATACACCTCCTTGCTAGTAATCGTCCTCCCCAGGAAAGTGAACTGAGGGATATGCAGCTTCTCAGTCATGTGCATGGCACTTCCATCGCCTTCCCAGAATAACATGATGTCTTCAACCGTGTATCCATCTGTGAAAGGGACAGAAACAGAGAGTCTCAGAAAATGGGCACAGGCAGATTTCACACCAGCAGTCTGAAAACCAAAGGATGGTTGGAACTTGCCATTTTGAGGGCTGCTTTATGCTTTGCTGATTCTGAGCACTGGGAAAAGAGAACCCTCACTTTGTAGTTTCTTAGCCAGAAAGGAAAGCTCAGCAAAAATACACTACAAGCTCCTACCCACTAGCTTGTGCACAATTTCCCAATAGTAAGGTGCCTCTTCTCAAGGGGACAACTTACACCCTAAAGGCCATCTGCTCCTAGATGGCATATATATACCTCTATCAGTCAATCAATCATCTATCATCAGGTATCTACCATCTGCCTTTCTTTATTTTTGTAACCTAGGGATGTAGGAGAGAGACAGCGGGGAAGAGTAGGGGGTGTAGAGATGTGCTGCTCCTCTCACTGTCAATTCTGCCTTTGGTTTCCTGATCGTCACAGCCCCAGGTAAGAAAAGGGGCCATAGGAGGTGAACGTACAGCTTTCCACCTCCAGCTTGCAGGCCTGCTTGTCCAGAGGGAATTTATGCAGATCCAGGGAACAAGCTGCTGTGGTGGTGAGTCTGTAAAGGAAAACAAAAAGGAAGGGAAAAGTGAGCCCAGTTCAGGCAAGCAACCACCCCTGAGAGAATTGCAGGGCTGTGGAGGGAAGCATGACCCAAGGACCGACCCATGTATAGGAAGGAGACAGGGCATTTGTATGTGACAAAGACACCAAGAGACCTGGCAGGACTTAAACAAGGAACAGATTTATGGCACATCAGAAAACCACAGGGTGTTAGCAAGGGAAAGGCCCTTGAGAGAACTGAATGCGGAGACCGGAAGAGACTTGCGCTTGCTAAAGAAGCATGTGAGTTAGGAATCGAAGGGAGGGTGGGCAAGATTTCAACTCACGGAAAGGAGGAAAGGGCCACTCCTCTCCAGACAGAAGGAACAGCAGAAGTCAAGGTGCCTATGGGAATCTCTGAAAGTTCCACTTTGGCTACTGGGTAGGATGAGTTGGCGGAGGTGGGGTGGGGGGTGGGTGGCAATGCAAGACAGGTTTGTGTGGCCCTTAGAATGTGTTTGTGGGCTATTCAATAGGAAGGAAGAAGCCTGGTGGGACATCCCCAGGAACCTAGGGGGACTCACCGGATGCCATACCGCACTGTTCCATCTGGGTGAAGCTGAAACACACGATTTTCCACAGTCACATCATGCACGTAGGCATCCTTGCCATTCACAAAATAGCAGTCAGGGACCCACAACTTCTCATGCATCCGATAGTCCAGGGTCAGGTTCAGGTTGGTCTCATAGTATGCTAAGCGTGAATCTTTCCAAGTCTGATGAAAAAACATGGTGATTGTATAGTCCTGGGGAGAGAAAAGTAAATCCCAGTTGTAAGTTAGGTTGTTCCAGCTCTGTCCTCTTTGTGTATATGTGTGTGCAAGTATAATGAAATATATCATAACTATAGACAAGTGCATGAAACATATGGATGTTTAAAAAAAGAATAATAAAATGACCCTTGTGTAATTAAAATCCAGGTTAAGAAACAGAGCATTGACAATAACTTTCAAACAGCAATGTGTACCTTCTAGAACATATTTCACAGCCCCCAGCAGTAACCTTTATCTTAGATTTTATGATTAATAATTTCCTTGCTTTTTGGTAGAGTTTTATTGTCCAGGTATTCCTACAAAACATATTGCTTAGACTTTTTTTTTTTTTTTTGAGACAGAGTCTCGCTTTGTTGCCCAGGCTAGAGCGAGTGCCGTGGCGTCAGCCTAGCTCACAGCAACCTCAAACTCCTGGGCTCGAGCGATCCTTTTGCCTCATCCTCCCGAGTAGCTGGGACGACAGGCATGCGCCACCATGCCGGCCAATTTTTTATATATATCAGTTGGCCAATTAATTTCTTTCTATTTATAGTAGAGACGGGGTCTTGCTCTTGCTCAGGCTGGTTTTGAACTCCTGACCTTGAGCAATCCACCCGCCTCGGCCTCCCAGAGAGCTAGGATTACAGGCGTGAGCCACTGCGCCCGGCTGCTTAGACTTTTTTAAAAAAACAAAATTTATCCGAATGGAATCATACTGTATTCATGATCTGCTGCTTTCACGCAACATTTTATTTGTGAGATTCATTCAGGTTGGCACGTGTCATTATAATTTGTTCACTTGCATTGCTGGATAACAGATGAATATGCTATGCATGTTATTGGGCGAACGCACCATGCATACCCAAACCACAACAAAATAAAAATGATGAAGTGGAATTTACAGTTTATACCAAGAGTCAAGAGTGGCTGCCAAGAGTCAAGAGTGGCTGAGGGTTCCCAATGCTTCCAACTCACCAACATGGATTGGTACTGTCTGACTTTTGCCAATCTGGTGAGTATGTGATGGGTTCTCATTGTGGTTTTGCTTTGCATTACTAACAAGGTTGAGCATCTTTTCATATGTTTCTGGTTTATCTACTATTTAGTTTTCTTCACAAAAGTGAAATTCCTGTTTACATTTTTTGATCATTTTTCTGTTTTTAAAATATTCTTATGAATTCACAAAAATTACGTATATTTTGAATATCAGTCCTCCACATTGCAAATATCTTACTCTATTCTGACTTATCCTTTCACATTTGTCATAGTGGTTTTGTTTGTTTTGCAAAATAGAAGTTCCAGGAGTTTTGGCTAAACAGAATTTTATTATAGTCAGAGTTGCCAGTATTTATTTTTATGGTTTGTGTTTTCTGTGTCTTTTAAAAGAAATCCTTACCCACTCCAAGACACAAAGACAGTGCCCTCTGTGATCTTTTAAAAGCTTCATAAGCCTTTCACTTTTAAGTGTATAATCCATCTGGAACTGAATTTTTGGATATAGTGTGATGTATGGGTTCAACTAACTTATTTTTTTTTTATTCCAGGTGGCTATACTTTGCAAAATCTACTTTGTTCCTCCATGTGAGTTCTGTTACAGATCAGAACAGCTGGAATTGGCTTATAATCCTGCTCCTTGTCCCATGACCCCTGTCTTCAGCTCCATGGCTGGAACTGACATACTTACCATATTCGTTTCTGATATCTGTTCAATGCTGGAGACATAGACAGATATTCTAACAGGCACAGGGGCACCTACGACACAGGAGACAATTTAACATGAAGGATAGAATAAAGGAGAAGAGCACAGACCCATGAGCCAGACTGCCTGGCTTTGAACCTGCTTTAACACTTCTTAGCTGTATGACCTTGAGTAAGTCACCTAACTTCTGTGAGCCTTAGTTTCCTCATGGGTAAAATGGAGATAATGATAGCACTGATCTCATAGTTAATGTAGGTCAAGCACTTAGATGAAAGTGGACCCATGATATGCTGAAAGGAAGGGGTAATGGCAAAACAGAGGAAATAAAGGGGTGAAACACTTTTTTCTAAATATTTCCTGATAAAAACTTAAAGAAACGAGCCACCAAACAAGATTCATGGTTGTGTGTGCATGCATGTTTGTTAGTGCATGTGTGTCTGTGTGTAATTGTGTGAGCTGTGTGTATGAATGTACGTGAGCATGTCCATGTGTGAGTGAATTTGTGAGTGTTTTCATGTGCAGGTGAATGTGTCGGTGTGTGTGAAACATGTTTGCGCATAAGTGAGCATGTCTGTGTGTGAATGCTTGTGTTTTGTGGGACTGAATGTGTGAGCATGTCCATAAGTATGAGTGTGTACCTGTGGAAGTGGGAATGAATGTCGGAATGTATGAGTGTGTTTGTGGGTCAGTGAATGTATGTGCATGTTGGGTATGTGAATGAGTGAACATGTCTGTTTATGTCAGCAAATGTATGAGTGTTTGCATGTATTTGAATGTATGTGTGTGGGAGTGAATATGTATGAGTGTCTGTGTAAGCCTTTTCATGTGTTAGTGTGTTTGTGAGCATGTCTATGTGTGAGTGAATGTATGAGCATATTCACATGTGTGAACTGGTTATGTTCATATGAGTATATGTGATCATGCTTGTGGATTGTCTGATATGTCTATGTGTATGAGCATGTTTATGTGTAAGTGTGACTATATTAGCATGCTCTAGTATGTGAGAAGGCCTATTTGTGAGTGAATGCAAAAGCTTATTAATGAGCATGTACACACCAGTATATATGTGCACATTTTCAGCATGTCAGTGAATCTGTGTACATGTGATCATGTTTATGTGTGTATGAGTGAACATGTGTGTGAGGATGTTAATGTGCGTCCTCATGTCTTTGAATTTGTGAATGTTTTGGGTAATGTGGGCATGTTTGTGAGTGAATCTGTGAGCATGTTTGTATGTGTATGTGTTAATGTGTGCATTCATGTGTGAGTGAATTTGAGTGTGGTGCTTTATGTGAGCACGTTTGTGAGTGAATGTGTGAGCATGTTTGTGTGCATTAGTGTGCTAAAGTGCGTGAGTAAATCTGTGAATGCATTTGGGTATGCGAACAAGTTTGTGTGTGAGTAAATATGTGAGTACATTCATGTGTGTATGTGGCTGTGTGACTATATGTGTGGGTATGTTAATGTGTGTACCTTAATTTTATGAGTGTGTTTGTGTACATTAACATGTTAGTGTGTGTTAATGTGTGTGAGTGAATTCATGAGTGTGAGTGAATGTGTGTGCATGTTCATATGTGTATGTGTGTATGCACTCATATTTGTGCACATGAGTGTGCTGCATGTGTTAGTGTGTGAGTGAATGTATGTGTATTTTTGTATTGTGTGGACATTTGGTATGTGTGAGTAGAAGTGAATGTGTGATCATGCTCGTGTAAGTGCATCTGTGTGTGTGTGAGTGAATTTCTGAGTGTGTTCCTGTGAGTGAGTGCATGTGTGAGGGTGACTGTGTGTTAATGTGCAAGTGCAACTGAATGTGCGAGTGTATGTATCAGTGTGTTTCTGCTTCCTAGCTTTTTTTTTTTCAGGCCCGGGTGTTAGCACTATTCACTGGCAGACTCAAATGTGACCACGGATATGAAAATATGTAGTAAACAGTAAGACACTGTGGACAAATACATTTTTATTGTTCCCTCATCAGCTCCAACCCATCTATACCCAGTCCCACAGCAAAGCCATCATTCTCTGTGTATTACATCACACTGCTGCTAGGGAAACACACATGACGCTTGCAATTCAACCTGCTGATTTCACTGCAGGCTGATTGGCCAGAAGCTGAGCTGCAAAGAGGGAAATGTTATTCCAAGTGTAATGCTATTGGGAATAAGCATCAGAGTGGCAGCTGAGAAGTAAATGGGCCTCTGTATTAGGGCACAGCCCAGACTCCAGCATTCAGAGCTATTGTGAACAAGCCCCAGGAAAGTGCTATGTGATGACTGCCTTTAAGGACTCCCATGTATCTTTAGAGGATGGAAGCTGTGTCAGGCAGGCAACAAGTCCCAGAGGGGCCAGGCAGCCAGTCCCCCACCTCCAGTGTTGGACTTCTTGTCTAGACCATTCCACACCACTCAGGCAACCCCACCCCCCATGGTGGAATGCTGAGGACTCTAAAGGGCCATGCCAGAAGACTATCCCCTTCTTGGCTGAAGGGGAAAGTGGGAGCTGAAATGCATTTCACATTACCCTCACCAAGCCACGAACCCTGCACAGGGATGCAGGAAGGGGACCTTCTTCTAATTTATCCACCTAAAGGGGACACCTTATGTGATAGCAGTGGCCAATGAGAACTTAAGATAAGGTAACCCACATCCTTAAAAGGGTAATGGAGGGGAATGAGAAACTTCCTGATAAGGAGTTTAAATGTCATCTCTAGGGGGATGGTCTCAGCCCTGTATCTCATCATGGACTCAGGAAGGCAAGAAAAGTGGCAGTGGTAATCATGTCCCTCCTTCCTGGAACCTTTGCTGCCCCAACTCCTCTTCCTCCCTAGCATCCATTATAGTGCCAGAGGAAGAATGCATGAATGAAGGTATGGTGAAAATGTCTCAGTCGTTCCTTCACTCCACAACATCAGGAAGCCTATGTCATGCCAGGTGCTGGGCTAGGTGAAGTTCAGTTTGCAACACTGCCGAGTTTCTCTTGGCCAGAAGGAGGTGACTTCCTTAACTTTTCCCCTCTTCTCGTTGCCCCCTCACTTCAGGAAGTAGTAAGGCTCCTGTTCTAACTGGACCACAGTTAAGTGAGGACCCTGCATGTGGGGTCTGTGCTGGGAAGGAGGTTAAGCCCTGAAATTCTACTTCACCACAGACACAGGGGGGCTGTACAGGAAGTTCTGGGGTCTCTAAACCCTGAATGTCCCAGCCCAACTGTCTCATCAACTGGTCTCCCCACCCCCACCTCCATACAACAGCACCAGACATAGAGCTTATAGTGCCCCCTTCTGTCCAAATGCTAGAAGGTCCTGAGCTGCCCTTTCCCTCCCACCTTCATCTGTTTGGTGAAATCAAGCCAAAGATCCATCTTTTCTTATATACTCTAGGTCTGCATACCCATAAATCTTCGTGTAACCCTCCCCAGAGATTGATTCCTGCCTCGGGTCCCCCGCCTCTGTCCCCGGCCCCAGCCCTGGATGCCTGCAGAGATGGCAACTGGACCCTGAAACAGTGGTGTGAATGTGCTTGGTGTACTCACGCGGTTGGCATTGGTCAGCCTAGGCTGAGAAACGTGAGAGTGAGGCAAGGAGAAAATGAAGTAGCTACTCCCCTGTCACCCACTGGTGCTTGGTGCAATGGATTCAGAAGCTGATGCCATGCAAGGGTGTGCTGGTGGTGCTCTAACATCTGGATTCTGTACCCAGATCTCTCCCTCGGGGGACCCACACAGAAGAGGTGCTGCTGCCCTTGCAGCAAGAGAGCCTGCCTTCTGCCCCCTCCTCTCCAGCTTCACTGTGCACATTCACCTTGAATCCTGGGCAGTGCCTTTGCCCTCACTCTCTAGAGGGAGGGGCTACTGCCCAGGTTTTCCAGGTGGCCGCCCACGTCAATCTTCCCAGTTGTGTGCTCTTTCCTGGGAGGTAGGGTATTCAGAAGACATATATTCATATGCACAAATGTGAACATTAGCATTCATTAACCCTTTAGAGCAGGTATCCATCTAGTTCAACCTCTGGCAGGAAGTTGGGTTCTTACTTTGGCTTAGCCTCTGCCTTCATTCTGCTTCCTTTGAGCCAGAATGCAAGTAACCCATATTTAATGCACCCTTTCTTTTATCTGTCCTTGGTCTAAGTTTTCTGGGTGTCCCCAGGGCCAGAGAATGCTGCTCCTGGGGTGAGGGGTCTGAGTAGGCTGCTTATCACTTAAAGCTGTGTGGTCCAGGCCAGTTGCCCTTTCTAAGTGGGAGGTTAAGCAGAAACCTAGAGAGAAACTGGCATCTGTATAGACTGCCTGGAGGTTTGAGTGTCAGTTTCCTTGTCATTTCTAATCTCTGTGCTAGAAATCTGAGTGCTAAACAGAGGAATGTGGATTTTATTTGGCAGTTAGATAAAACCATCAAAAGTTCCTGAGGTGCTCCTGATGGATTTATAAAGATCACACTGACTGCAGTTTGTTGAATGGGGGGGGGGAGCCAAGGTGGAAGTGCCTGGGGCTGGGTGGATTAAGTGCACTAGACAGAGAAGACCATACCCTCAGTTTTGAACTGGCTGAATGGGGTGAGTGCCCAGGATCTGAGGAACAATGTACTCAGGTAGAAGAATGTGTCCTCCACAGAGATGGAGCAGAAACTCTAGCCTGAGAGGCACAATGTGCTGTGTCCTGCGCACCCACTTCTGTGCTTAGTCCTTCGCCAGCCACACCACTGGAAAGGAGTGTGGAGGGGGCAGAAGGTCTCAGGCACATGAAGGCAGAGAAGTACTATAGGAGAAATTCCAGGGGTGCAGAATGCCTGGAGCTTGAGAGCCTTGGAGTGCTTGCTCCCTGGCAGGTCTCTGCAGGGTCAAGAAGGAGGGATGGGGAGGGGCAGAGGTGTAGAGCTGGGGAGGGCCACTGGTGCCTTTACACGGTAGGGCTGGCTTGCTGTGTCTCAGCTCTATTTCACCTAATACAAAGACCTCTAGTGTCTAGACGTGACTTACCTCCAAAATTTGGTCTCAGACGAACATCATATCTCGACAGCACCCTGTCCAGAATCTTTTGAACCACTGCTTCACTTGCACAATTTTTGCTGAAACAGAGACGTCATCAGTAAATGCTGGTCGACTTGTGGCTGACTTGCCAGTGGCCACCTTGCCAGGGATTTTCTTTATCCATACACAGACATGTCCAGTCATATGTGTACCACACTCTCCCCACTCCCCTCCCTCCCTAGGGTGAGTCAGCCAGAAGCGCAGCACTGCCGCAGACTTTTTTCCCCCTCTCCCCTTCCAGCTTTTATCCAGAGGGTGGGGCACAAAGGCTGGCTCTCTGTTACCAGGCAGGACTGAGTAGGGGGAGGGAAGGAAGGGAAGCAATAGGAAAAGAGGAGATGGGAGAGAGTGGGCAGGTGGGAGCCCTCAAAAATGCATTACTTCAACCCCCTAAGGAGCTCCACCTCTCAATCAGCCTAGACGCTGCTTTCCAGGTTGGTTGGTTGGGGGGGAAGGTCCTCCTTCTAGGGACATTTGATTATCCCAGAAAAGATCAACATCCACTCTCAGTGCCCTCCTGAGCTAGGTCAATGTTCTTTGGCTCATTTCCCCTACCTAGGCTAGGGCTGGACATTTTATCACATTTATGCCAACCTTGTTTTTGTACACCTCTGTTTTTCAGACTTAGCATATGGCATATGACACAGAGAGCCTTGCTTATGTATCAGAGATTTATGACCCTTATCCAACCAAACCATTTCACATTGTTGGGGCTCAGAGCTGTCTTTGAAAAGACATCCATTCAGGGAGCAGGCATCTTTCTTGCTAAGCATGTGCTTCTAGCCTGGAAGTATCTTAGGTGAGCACATGTAAGTGGACCCAGCTCAGCTCTGCAGAGAGCTGGCCTTTCCACGGGTCTCTAATATGTTCATCCAATTCACCCAGCCCTTCAACAGGGATCCTTCCCCTAAGAGGGCTTGTGAATGAGTACAGGCCCTGGCATCACTGTGACTCTTCAAATCTTTGACGCATTACCCAGGGAACATCAGCCCCTGAAAATCTGTTTGTGTGTGTGTGTGTCTATGTGTGCGTGTGCATGCATGTGCCTGTGCTTGCATGTGTGTTCACTGACGCAGTTTGATATGTTGGGTTGAGGGCACTGCAGGGCTGTCTGCTGGAGCCTTGCCCAACTACCTCCCCTCTTTTCTGAATACATATTCATTTCTGCTTTGCCATTTAAAAATCATTAAAAAATATTCCCAATCATCTTTAATCAAAAATTTCATTTTGCAATATTCCAAAGTGTGCACATGAATTATTTCCAAATTAAAGCAATACATCCCCGCCTGTTTCTGACCACACATTACCCATGTGCCAACACTCAGGACTCCTGGCTACCACAAATAAACATTTCTGTGTATCTACATGTAAAGGCTGACTGCTTAACATCTTTTCAGATACTCGGAGATCCAAACAAACTTGAAATCTAACACAGAAAAAAACCTGAATCTTCATATATTTTCACAGGAGTAAGTACAAAAGCGCATCTAAGGCCACACGGTTTATGGTTATACAGCCACTGATCACACTCTCTGGGCTAGGATGAGGTTTAGTTAATAATTTCTATCTGCGGCATTGGAAAGAGTCCCTCACTCCTCAAAACATACATGTACGCACACTCTATCTCACACGTGCCCACGCACGCCCAGGGAATGGACTAAAATCCAGATTCAAACAGGTGTCTCTTCTGTCTATGCTTTGTGAATTGCTCATCACCTTGAACCCCCCATCCCCCATCCCACAGGTACCAAAGGACGTGACTGGAGAAAGCTGCCGGGAGGCTTAGTCCTCTGGGATGGATGGACAGATCTCGGGTGAGGACACCCCCCACCCCCGCGCGTTGCGGTTTGGGCACACGCGTAGCGCAGGCCGCAGTAACAGGTGGGCTGAAACATAGGGCTCCATCTCAACTGGCCACTCCCACTCTCCCTCCCCTCTCCTAGGGGTCGGCAGGGCCCTCACCCCTAACCTCAGCGAGCCCGGAGGCCAGAGGCCATCTGCCCGCCCCAGTCCCCGCCGTGCCTAGCCTGGCGGTGCCCGCTTACCAGTTGAAAAGGTCCAAAACGACGTCGGGCACAGCGGAGGAGAACTCGAAGTGGAATTTCGGGGTGGGACTCGGGTAGTTGCCCTCCGCGAGCCAGGTCCTGATGAGCAGCAGGAGCACGGCGGCTCGCAGCATGCCTCGGATGCCCATGGCTGTGGCGCTGTGGGGTCCGGAGGGCGCTGGAGCCGCGGCCGTGGAAAGGGACGGGGTGGGGGTGGGGATTAGGCCAGTGCGGGGCCAGAGGGTGCAGGATCGCTAGCCCTTCGACAAAGAATCTCCTTTAAGGAGAGATCAGCGAGGGCACAGGGAGCAGGGAGCGCCAGGTTCGGTTGGGATCCCGCAGCCCAGAGCCTTAGAGGAGCAGCAGCCCTAGGGCGCCCCTGGCTGCCGCAAGGTGCGCTCCATCTGCGACCGCTCCAGGCTGCAACTGGGCTCAGACCGGAGCTCGGAGCTGGCTCCGCCCACTCCGACGGCAGCATCGCCCCAACCAATCGGGCAGGCTCCAACAGCTGCACAAAAAGGAGCGCGTTCTTGCCTCCGCCCGGAGCCTGCGCGCCGCCTGGGTCCCCGCCCCTTCAGGCCTCTGCAGTCTTCTCCTGGCCAACTCCAGACACAGACAGGGGCGGGGCACGGCTGGGCCGGGGGAGGGGGAGGAGGGCTGGCTCCTGGAGGGCTGGGCAGGGGTCCGAGGCCAGCAGCACTCGCTCCTGTGCCTCTTCTTGGCAAAATGCAAAATGTGCGTTTGTCTTGAAAGAGCCTATGTCCAAGAGTTTGTATTTTGTGGTGAAGGGAGTGTGGTGATGTGACTGCCATGGCTGAATCTGCATTCTGAAAGACCTGAACACTTCAGAGGGGTCAGGAGGTACCCGACTGCTGGTCATTCCCAGACCCTCGGGCCTCCAGTAACCCCTCGGTGCCTCACCTCTGGGTGGGGTAAAGGGGGGTTACCAATGGGTTTTGCAACAGGGCTCTGGTCACAGCAGGCTTGCTTTTCCTTTAGGATGGAAATTGTGTTCCAGGAATCCAAGAGTTGCTTGAAGACTTAAATACCCCAGAATGCTCTTTGCACCAAGTTTGGGTTTTCAGGGAAAACTCAGGGTTCACCAGCTGGGGTCTCCTTGAGATGTGACTCTGTCCCATTAGCCAGGGATGCAGAGTTGAAGTGAGAGTCCAGGCCTGACACCATGGAAGGGGAAAAGAAGACAAAGGTCTCTGTTTAGGGTGTTCAAAGGACTTAGCTCCTGGAGACCAGGCCACACCAGTGCTCCTGGGTGCTGGCCCCGGCATGTGGAAAAGCCTGACATTTTGACTAGAGGGCTCTTATTCTTTCCACTACCCAGAACACTGCTCCTGTGGACCAGAAGGGATCTTAGAGGATAAGAAATGCCTCCACCCAAACCCCTCTGTCCTTCCTATCCCATGACAAAACACGTTCTGAAGGAAGTCTCACCAGAGCCCATGGGCCAGACAAGGAATCAACAAATAAAGCTCAGTCATGTTCAGCAGTGCTGCACTTCCCAATTCATACCATTGCGAAAAGTTGCAATCAAAATGGATTTCAAGTTCATTCTTGGTTAACTAGAACATTCACACAGAAACACCCCTTTTCACTTTCTTTCCACGTCTGGTGAAATGAATTGGGGTTGCTTGTGCTCAGCGAAGCCTCACTTGCTGGTGTTGCATGGCTTAGGGGTTTGACTTTTTCCCTTCCCCCTTTTAAAACTATTTTAGAATAAAATTTATAAAAAATATGTCTCATAGTTCCCTGCCTTCTTTTAAGTAGCAGAGCACCCTAACATTTTTCTTTTCCTTCTCTCCTCTTTCCCTTGCTATTGTAGCAAGTAAAAAAGGATGATGGGGCCCATACGTCACTGACTATCACATACAAGAGCAGATCTATCAAACCAACCCCTGCTGCAATGAGTCCTGACCCCATCATCTCTGGTCACCCAGATGTCCTTGTAGAGACAATCCTTGCTTGCCTAAAATAATAGGGCCATTCCAGGTCATTTTGTCCAACCTCCTGGATTGTAATATAGGGAATCTGAGGCCCAGAGAAAGAAAAATATTGGCCCTAGGTCTCATAGTAGCAGTTGCCGAAGCTAGAAACCCAATATCTGGGTTTGTCTATTTCCAAAACAGTGGGTTTATGTTGTCGCTCTGACTGTAAGTTCAGGCAACCACCAGCAGGTGGGAGTAGATTTGTTTGGATGCAGGACATTCCCAGCACTGAGAAATCAAATTCCACAGGAATTGTTCTCTTCCCTCAGTTGTCAGGGAAAATAAGACTGAAGTCTGAAGTTTGGTTTCTAGGTACCCTTGTGACTATGAATATTGCCAAAAAGTTGATGGCGATGATGAATTCACTTCCAGAACTTACATCCCAAAATGCATTAAGAAATACAAAAATGTGGCCGGGCGCGGTGGCTCACTCCTGTAATCCTAGCACTCTGGGAGGCTGAGGCGGGCGGATTGCTTGAGTCAGGAGTTCGAAACCAGCCTGAGCAAGAGTGAGACCCTGTCTCTGCTATAAATAGAAAGAAACTAATTGACAAACTAATATATACATAGAAAAATTAGCTGGGCATGGTGGCGCATGCCTGTAGTCCCAGCTACTCGGGAGGCTGAGGCAGAAGGATTGCTTGAGCCCAGGAGTTTGAGGTTGCTGTGAGCTAGGCTGACGCCACGGCACTCTAGCGCAGGCAACGGAGTGAGACTCTGTCTCAAAAAAAAAAAAAAAAAAAAAAAAAAAAATACAAAAATGCCACCATAATTTGTACTTGTTGAGCTTTTATCTAGTTAATTTATCAGACTATCTGTAAATATCCAGATTGAATGAATTTAAACCTGAATATGGGATCAGGGCCTGGAAATTGGCCCATTTGCATTCTGACCCAGCTATGCCCCTTTAGTTTGGAGAAGAGACAAGAGGTGAAGGAGGTAAGGAGATTAGGCAGAATCTGACCGAGTGAGTGTCACATACTCAGCATGCAATAAATACTTGCCTAAGGAATAAATAAGGCAAGAAAGAAAACTTGGGGCCTAATTGGCTAAACTGAGGAATTTGACTTTTATTTTAGAGTCAACAGTGAGCTTTTGAAAGATTTGTGCAAGGGAAGGACACAATCAGAGTGGCACCTTGGAAGGATCTTTTGATGACTTTGTGAAGGAGAAGCTGGAGGAAGAGGGACGGGGATCAGGAGAGCAGTTAGGAGGGGGTTGTACGCCTCTACTCTGGCAATGGCTGGCTAGGGAGTTTGAACTAAATGCTTCATTGAGGGGAACGAAATAAACTGGCTGAAATATATAGAGAAATCATCATCATAACGAACTAAGAAATAATGAGGCTAAAATCTAGAAGAAGATAAGAGCCTAGAGAGAGAAGCCCAGCACTAGAAGCCACTTTGCTCTGGTGGCATTTGCTGAATCTGGAAGAAAGAGTTGTGAAATTGAGATGTGGTTTTTTTTTTTTTTCATTTTTTTTCTTCTTTTCTTTTCTTTTTTTTTTTATCATTTTTTTTTTTATTTTGGCATATTATGGGGGTACAGATTTTAAGGTTTCAATAAATGCCCATTTCCCCCCCTCCCCCCAAGTCTGAGTCTCCATCATGACCATCCCCAGATGGTGCACATCATCATTTATTGTATGTATATACCGCCCCCTCCCCCTCCACTCCCAATACCCTATTACTGTAGTACCTATGTGTCCACTTAGGTGCTACTCAGTTAATAACCAGTTTGCTGGAGAAATATCATGGTGCTTGTTTTTCCATTCTTGGGATACCTTCACTTAGTAGATGGGTTCCCAGCTCTAACCAGGAAAATATAAGATGTGCTATATCACCATGGTTTCTTAGAGCTGAATAGTACTCCATGGTATACATATACTTATTTTAATCCTTCTTGGATTGATGGGCACTTGGGCTGTTTCCACAGCCTTGAATTATGAATTGTGCTGCTATAAACATTCGAGTGCAGGTGTCTTTTTGTAGAGTGTCACTGGCTCATTTGGGTAGTGCCCAGCAATGGGATTGCTGGATCAAATGTAATTCACTTGTATCGCTTTAAGGTATCTCCATATTGCTTTCCACAGAGGTTGAACTAGTTTGCAGTCCCACCAGCAGTGTAGGAGTGTTCCTCTGTCTCCTCAACCACGCCAGCATTTATTGTTTGGAGATTTTTTGATAAAGGCCGATTCTCACTGGGGTTAAGTGATATCTCATTGTGGTTTTGATTTGCATTTCCCTGATGATTAGAGATGTTGAGCATTTCTTCATATGTTTGTTGGCCATTCTTCTGTTGAGATGTGGTTTTGGTAGCATTGTGGGCAAAGAGGAAAAAAGTAAAAACTCAAGACCTCCATGTCACTTTCAGCTGATACCCTAAGTGGCTACCACCTAGGGATAATACTGATCCAGAAGCATGCAGCCCTGGCCCTGTAGCATACATACACATCATCTGGGTAGTCCAAGGAACCTGAAGCTCTGACCTTGGATTAAAGTGGCCTTGGACAGGAATTACGCCAGAAATTTGAAAATCCCTCAACAAATGAAAAAATTCTCTGCAGGGAGATATTATCATCTTGGGCCTTTGTACAAATGATTTTTCAATAATATGTCAGCACATAGTCAAAGATAACACACCATAACAGAAAAAATACACTGTGACAGCCAGTAGAAAAGAATAAGCAACAAAACAAACTCACAAAGACTCCAGATATTAGAATAATATGACACAGATTACAATAACTATTGTTTACAATATTCCAAAAAATAAAAAAATAAGCTTGAAAATATCTTCATGGAACAGAAAATCATAAAGATTGATATAGCTTATTTGAAAAGAATAGAGGATAATTTTTTTTTATTATTTTAGCGTATTATGGGGGTACAAGTGTTAAGGTTACATATATTGCCCATGCCCCCATCGCCCCTTGAGTAAGAGCTTAAAGCGTGTCCATCCCCCAAACGTTGCACATCTTACTCATTGTGGTTGTATATACCCATCCCCTCCTCCCCCCTCCCACCCTACCGACACCCGATAAATGTTACCCCTATATGTCCACTTAGGTGTTGATCTGCTAATAACAATTTGCAGGTGAGTACATGTGGTGCTGGTTTTTCCATTCTTGAGATACTTCACTTAGTAGAATGGGCTCCAGCTGTATCCAGGAATATACAAGAGGTGCTATATCACCATTGTTTCTTAAAGTTGATTAGTATTCCATGGTATACATATACCACATTGTATTAATCCACTCATGAATTGGTGGGCACTTGGGTTGTTTCCACAGCTTTGCAATTGTGAAGTGTGCTGCTATAAACATTTGAGTGCAGGAGTCTTTATTGTAGATTGTCCTTTGTTCTTTTGGGTAGATGCCAAGAAGTGGTATTGCTGGATCAAATG